TACTTCACCATTTGTTCATGATCTTTTATTTCATCGGCTCTATTCATCGGACTTTCTGTCTTGGAACCTCCAATTTCCGTTTTCGTTTCCATCACTTTTAGACTTTTAATGTTTCGTTTTTCTTTTTACTTCCACTCCATTCGCTTCGTAAGACATCCTTTTTCTCTATCTAGCCTGGCAATCGGGTAGCAATCGCCATGGCTGGAGGGTGGTGCGGAAGTCACTGAACATTATTGGTGGACTAGACCCCTCTTCGCTCTTGGTGTTGTTGTTACCGCTTCCTGGCGCTCTTCCACCAATGACATTCAAGGGTTTCATTTAAAACCGCAACGCCCGTGATGGCCACTGCCTTTGAGGAAAGTGATAGAAGGTGAAGCGTTCGGCGATGGGGATGCGCCACACATTCTGCTTCCTTTCAAAATCGTATGGCACTTTAATTCGATATTGCCTACTCAATGGTTTGCGTAGTCCAGGTCCAGCGTTATCATCTCTCTCAGATTACTTCGAACCAATCAGTCGACTCGGTAAAACAGAAGGTTTAGTTGGCTGGGCGAGATTCAACCCGGAATTCTATCCTGGTCCATGCTCTTGGCATGCGACGTAATACAGTGAATTTCTTAGGCTGCTTTTCTCTCAAAATTTCTATGGACTTTGGTTTCACACCGTTTCATATTTCCAAGGTCACCCTGAAAAGAGATGAAGTTAAATAACTAAGATTAGTGACGGACATAAAAGAGTCACTAATCTTTGGTTCCTTCTTTATTTTGTGCAACGTCTCCGTGGAATAATGGAATCGAGATTCAAGGCAGCTGACCATCACTCACTTTCGTGATTTAAGGGTTGTTCCAGCTCTTTTGTAGTTCCTAAGTGGCGTTTATCTGCATGCTTCCCATGATAAACATATCCCTGACAAGGGGAGGTCGTTCAGGTCGTGGAACGCTTTCTCTCCATTACGCAAGTAGTCCACGCCATGAATGAAACACACCACGTTGAATGTGTAAAAACTGCAGTTTCTGACAAAATTATTTCCACTCCTTTTTTGGCATTCAGAAGGCCATTTAGCGGAAATGGACCATAGTTCTGTGTTCACTGCACACGCCCCTATTCATGCAAAAAACCGTTTTCAGAAAGCGCTCCACGCCCTGAACGACCTCCCTCGTGAGATGTTCTATGGAAATGCGACCACAACATCAGAGTAACCTGTTCATATTATCTGGGTGTTGCCACTTCTGGTCGAGTGACTTACATGAGTACATTAAGTGTATTGTTCTGTAATAATACATCGTGTAGATCATTTTCGCCTCAAGAAAGAGATCGGATACCCTTGCATGCTCCGTGATGAATCATGAGAGCTATTTGTCTGGTCATGGGAAAAATTCGACCACAACATATTACAAAATGTGCACCTTACACTGTCCTTCATTTAAATTTGCGACGCAATTGAAATCGACCAGAGTCTCGCAAAAGTTATTACGGACATACAGGGGGGGGGCCAAAAAAAAGACATTTTGCCTCCACTTCCAGATGGATTTAAGCACATTTTACTCAACTCAGACCGAACGGTTCCAACTTATTATTAAAGAGTGCATTCCATTCTATAAGAAAATCTTCATAGTGGCCACGTACGTGGACGGCATCAGAAGAATTAGCCCTGGAAACATGGTGCACTGGTCGATCTCAATGGGGTCTTCGAAGGATCGTGTACCACAACGACCCTTACTGGAAAGCTAGTTCCGAGGGATTTGCACAGTGGTAGCTAATGCCTCTAGAAAACTACCATCCAACACTTAAGCACAGTCACGCTGGGAAGGAAACCCATGACGTGGATTGGTACACTGAAAGAAGGAAGAACATGAGAAACGCCGAACCGAGAAATGACCGCTTACATTCGCCTCCCGCCCTTGGGGATGCGCGGATGCTACTCTCATCGTGCATCGCTGTGCCCTCCTTCAACGTCACGCTCTCTCTGCTATCTAATCAATCCCACGTATAGATCTGCGGCGAGTGATCAGCTGGTCGGTGGGCGGAGATCGCCAGACCCGCCAACTTTGAGGCATAATAGGTCGCCGAGGTCAAATTTTTCGATGCGAATTGCGCATCAGTTCGCACCCTCAGGAGGTCCGTGGGTTACTCAACTAGGTGAATTACTTCCCTCGACCTCCATTCTAATCGTAAATCCTCCTTTAATGATCCGAATTGCGTAGAGCTTCAGGCTGAGCTCTTATTCGTGTTATTCAGACTCCTTGACAGAGCTGAGCGACGGGTTGGGACAGAGACTGGTGATTTGAAGACGGTGAGGGCAGTGAAGGAGAGCCTGCGTACACTAATAGAGGAACACTTAGGGAATACTCTGCTGAGGAACTCCCGTCAACGACAGCAATCTCTGCGAAGAAAAAAGAGCCGAAGTCCGACATAGGCAAAATGTCTTTTTTTTTTGGCCCCCTCCTGATACACAGCAACTATTCTGCTATGAAAGGCATATTTATCCTAAATAATATTCAACTTACTGAAACAATTCATCCTATGGGTGCGATCTAGTACGGCAGGGGGAAAATAGGAACGAGGGACATTTCTTCGCACCTCATTAACCGTGCCTCCAACCAGGGTGCGAAGTGACCTCAATTAGGAGCGAAGGCACAGAGGTCGCTATGCTATGCACCCCTTCCCAGAAGTCGAGATAATCAAATTGGCATTATTGAAGCAGCGCGCTATTCATAAATGTCATATATAACTGCGATTCAGTAAAACAATTATAGGAAAATTTCATTTAATTATTATTATTATTAATTGACTGTGAGACCTCTCATATATAGCATATGGAATCAACATATAAACACAAAAATACTATATAGTTTTGTTCGTAATATATCTGGACATTCTCCTGCACGTAAGAGTCTGTTTCTCCCGTGTGGCTCCTTTCCTGGGTAAATTTCATGAAATCTGTTATCAAGGCTGTAAACAGGTATCGTCATAATCACTATTCAGAAGTGCTCTACCTCACCATTTCCTCTGATACTTTTATTTTTTCTTTCCAAGTGAAGAGGAGAGGAAGATGATCAAGGCGGTACGATGAAACCGGTGCAGAAAAGTGAGGGGGAGCTGAGGCTTGATCTACGTGGTAGGACGAGTCCGGCCCCGATGCGGAGACATAAGGGGGAATCGGAGCTTGGTACACACGGTAAGATAGGTCCACATTGTTGGCTGGTATCGTTGCAGAAAGGCAAATGTGAATGGGCTTGATCAACGTGAAAAGATGATAAGCAGAGGGGTAAGGATGAGCAGAGGCTTGTTCACTGTTACAACTGCTGTTGAGCTAGGTAGAAATTACTAGGTTGGAAAGAAAGTTCTGCAACACTCTCTCTAAAAAATTCTTTTTCTCTGAAAAATCTTTGATAATTTACGACTAACAAATGGTAGAGAATTCTCGGGCTTCAATCCACGGGGTGGGTGTAGTGCTGCAATCAGTAGTTATCCAAAAAAATTCAAAAAAACCCCGACCATTGGTAAAATCCCATACCCGAGTCACAAGTCTTGTTAAAATGTTCCAAACTTAATGGTCGTGTTCAAGTTACCAACTTTATCTGCAATAGCATCAATATTCATGTCGTTCACCGTTACAGCGTGCTTCAACTTTACCAGCGCCTTCGATCCTTTGATATTTTTATAAGAGCGCACGGCAGATCTCACACGCATTACAGTAATGTCCTCATACAAGACTCACCTGCAAATCTTCGCATGAGAGTACCATTTGTGTAGAAAGTCTATGGCACACGAAACCTCAGAGCTGAGCAAGCACAAGAGCCCTCGTACCGTAACAATATTTGTTTCTTTCATGACATTGCGAACCATGATCCCAAATGAGCCCGGTAAGAAATTCTGCAGCTGCGGCAAGATTTCTTACCTCTCTTATCGTACTCCCCTGGTCGAGCTATAAATGACTGACTGTGAATACATAATAGCACAACAAGTTCGGTAGAACAAATAGTTGCGCATGCATTGCTCGCCTGTCAGTATAAATACCTATTGGTGTCCTCTCATTAGGTTTTGGTATCCAGGGGGTCTTACAAGGTCATCATAATAAAGAAATGTGAGAGGTCATGATCTATGAATGTACTTCTGATGCCCAGAACAAACACTTTTCTGATAGGTGAGTAGAACACTTAAACACTTATTTATCTTGCCGTTTTTGTTTGGCACAAGAATTTGGAATATCAACTTCACTTCGTTCTGACGTGTCCATCTTTCAAACCACCCATTTCATTTCGTTTTCGCATCTTAGTATACTGAAATCTATCTTAGTTCTGTAGTTTTGAGGCTACGCCATAGCAGCTGATATACAAAGAACGTCATTGTATAGCAATAAGAGTCATTGAGAGTGTCATCTATAACAATAACGACAAAGTACCGCGCATCGGGGAGCGCATGCCGCAATACGAGGGGGGGTGGGGGGGTGGGCGGGGGGAGGCAGGGGTATGAGTGAAAACATGACTGGCCAAAAAAAGGAAATCCCACGACTCCTTACACCTAAGTCGAAACTGCGACTTGGATCGTGGAACGTGCGGACCGCCTTTCACTGCGGTCAGAAAGAAATCATCGCAAGGGAGTTGAGCAAGTGCCGGGTTACTGTTGCAGCTTTATCCGAACTGAGGATCAGCGGCTGTGGAACGACAAGAGTGCAGGTTCCTGCTACGGACGATTGGATGACACTGTACTACTCTGGCGGTCAAGAACATCGTGATGGTGTTGGGTTCATGCTCAATAGCCACGCATCAAAATGCGTCGTGTCGTTTCAACCCATCTCGCCGAGAATAGCAGTGATCACTTTGGGCGGAACCGTCAAGTCGCACATAGTGAGCGTATACGCTCCGACGGAACCGAGCGACGACGGTATGAAGGACGAATTCTATATGCAGCTCCAAGACGTGCTGGACAGCATTCCCAGAAGAGATCTCGTTATCGTCACAGGCGATCTGAACGCTAGAACTGGCGCGCCGACAGAACCGGATGGGAACCTGTGTGGGCCGATTTGGCGTAGAGACAGCATGTAACAACAATCGGTTTCGCTGCTTTCGTTTGCCACGTTCAATGATCTGGTCATCGGCAATAGCCTATACCAGCATGCACGAAAGCATCAGCTGACATGGAGAAATCCATCTGGTCACGATTCAGCAGTCCTGGACTATGTACTAATCAATTCTCGATACAGGTCATCGCTAAAGGATGTGCGTGCAATGAGAGGCCCGGATTGCGGATCAGATCACTACCTACTACGAGCAGTCGTGCAGCTCCGCCTACAGTGTGCTAAGCGAGGTAAACGCCAACCGAAAGTAGACTGGGAGCAACTTTATGAAGCTGGAGGTGAAGCAAGGCTTCCAAATTGCACTGTCAAATCAGTTTGCTGCGTTCACGGAAGTGGGAACGGTGGACGAGGAAGAACGGCAGACTGCAAAAGTCATTACCGAATGTGCTACACAACTGTGCCCAGTTTTGCGCCGACGGACTAAACCATGGATCTCGGACGAAACATTGCAGTTGGTTGACAAAAGGAGGAAGGTGAAGCTGACGAATGGCACTACGTATCAGCTACTCAGTAAGGAGCTCCGCAAGAGACTAAAAACAGAAAGGGAGGCCTACTGGAACGCAGTAGCGGAGGAGCTCGAAGAATCGGCATCCAAACACGAGTATCGCATGCCGTATCAAATTCTGAGAAGACTGTGCGGCAAAACCAGAGCATGCGGAACCTTCATCAAAGACGCAAGTGGCAAAATAAAAAAACCTCCAGTTAATCAGTAGGACGGGAACGCCTTACAGCAGATGGCATGAGAATTTTCATACGCAGCGTGTACAGCCGACGAGAGCCAAAGAAGTGTGCCAGACCAGTACCGATAGAGATGCCACAGGAACCAACACACGAGGCGGCGCCAAGTATGGAGGAAGTGAGGGCGGCGGTGATGTCGCTGAAGAACAGGAAAGCGGCTGGTGTAGACAATGTCACAGCAGAAGCGATTAAGGCAGGAGGAGAAGTATTGGTACAACGGCTCCACCGTCTTATGTGTCGCGTCTGGCAGACGGAGGTTGTTCCTACGACGTGGAAACGCTCCATCATCGTGCCAATACACAAGAAAGGCGACATAACGGAATGCAAGAACTATCGCGGCATATCACTCCTGTCAGTCGTCGGGAAGGTTTTCACAAAGATCATCAACGCAAGACTTCAGCTTCATCGAAGAAGCTTATGCCGACCGGAGCAAGCGGGTTTTTGCCCTGGCCGTGGGTGCAGTGACCAGATCTTCGCGCTGAGGCAACTACTGGAAGAACGTATTCGTTGCGGCAAAAGGGTTGTGGTTGTTTTCATAGATTTAAGTTCAATTTCACATCTGCTTACGCGATGGCATCGCCCAGGAACAACCCAAAGCCCCACAAAATAAATAAATGTGGCCTTTCCTTGGAAAGACGAATGCGAATCAATCCAGAAATTTAGTTCATGTGATGTGTTTGTGACAGATATTCAGTTTCATAGACACTTTTGTTTCATCTTATAATGTAATATTCATTTTCTGAGAGTGACCTCATAATTAAGAATCGTTGCAAAAACGAAAAATAATCATAAAAAGATAGAAGAAAAGCTGCTCTTGAATGAGAGATGGTGATGAAGTGGTAATTGTTTAGGAAATACGGAGTTTTTAAAGTATTTGGTTCTCGTGAGCAGAGCTATCCAGTGGTATAATTTTCAAATGACCTAATCCATTTGTTCACGAGTTATGGCGAGGCGACGGTTGCGACGGACTGACTGCGTCGCACATCGTTATTGAACAAAAATTGGTAGAGCATTGTATGAAAGCGTTGTATATATAAAATTAAGGAAATCCTGCGCCAAAAATGGCTGACTTTTTCTCTTTCCGAGCCCGACCTTCACTGTTTCATGACCATCCGCGACTCTGCGCTAGTTGGGGTTGACGGGATAAAGGTACGAGGAAGGCAATGGCGAAAAAAGTCCTTTCCTCCGTCCTCATACCCATGTTATCCTTTGCTGAGCTTGCATCTCCTCTTGACCTTTCTAACTGGACTCAATCCAACTCGTCCCAGGATAATTATGCATTTTTGGTTTCTCACTTTTTTCACTATCATTATTCACGCTCGTCTACTTCGTCGATACTTCCGCTATTGGTTTTCTCCTCGACAGCCATATTTCCACGAGGGAAATTTCACTGCTTTGATGAATTCGTCCCATTTCAGAAAATTGGGGCAGACCAAAGTTCCAGGCAAGTCTGAAATATTAGTATCCGTGCTGTCTCGAGCACAGCGATAGTCGGCATAATCTCTTAGCTCGTATTCAATTCATAAAACGCTTTCAAGCAATATCTAGACAAATCAGCCTGTTGACATTTTTTCTCTTTTCAAAACCATCAACCATGCACCATCATTTAATACATACATCGAGGTCTTGAAACCTTTCCCTACAACTGACGAGGCTTTTAACCGGGGACGCAGCATAGCCGAGAACCATCGTGAACAAGACGCATTTCCTCGAAGCGCAATATTTGTATGAAAACTTTTTTGTGAAGTTGAATCAGCACTAGTGCACTATTCAGCCCCGGTTAGGATGATAGGGGTCAATTTTTCCGCTGAGCTTCCGCCATGGGGGTTATCAAGGGTCTTGATCACAGACAACATTCTCAGCGAAAATGCGAACTGTCGCCATTTATCGCCGGCCGGGACTGATTTTCACCAGCTTCGTGACTTTCTTCACTGTTTGGGGCGTGGCCGCAGCGAGCGCGGCCGAGTCGGTACTGCTCCTCGTTGCGTTCAGGATCAACCCTATGTTGGGACAAGTACCAACGGGGGGTCGTACTTGGTTTAGGTTTTAGGGGGGTCGTACTCTCTCGGTGGCCGGCAGTGGGATTCTTGGTAATATCGGATAATAGCCAGCACGTTACGTTTTTTTAAGATGACTGATATAAGACCCACGCTTCTTCTAAGCCTTCAAACGAATCAGCGAATCAGAAGCGCGGCCGAGAGCGTGGCGCACACCAGGGCAGGGTGTGCCACTACACGCTCATGCTCGAAGCTTTTGAACATATCCTATGTCCAACAAGAAATCGCTGTCCACTAGAGTTACGGCCTGATTCCTTGAGTTTTGCTTTCAGAAAATGGCTTGAAGACCCCTCCAAAAAAAGTAACAACGGGACTAATTTTTGAAGACTGCTGACTTTTCAGGAAACGTTTCGGTACTCATAAGAAAGCTGAATCCTGTAGTTTGTCATACCGTGTTCAGCTTCCCAAACGAATGACTTGAAACAAAGTTATGATCGTTTGAAGGTTGAAAAGTCGCGGTTCCAGAAAAAGTAGCTCCGCAACCTCTCCCCCAAAAAAGTCCCAGCGAGACTAATTTTTACCTGCTGACTTTTCAAGATAGTTCGGGTACTTTTTAGAAAGCTTGAATCCTTCAGTTAGTCATGCCGGGTTCACCTTCCCAATTCAATGAGTTGAAGGAAGTTATGATTGTTTGAAGGTTGAAAAGTCGCATTTGCACAGAAAAAAGTTTCCAACGTGCTAAATTTTTACATTAATATTAGCTTTCGCTCAAATTTCAGCCACGATTGGAGAGAGAATGAGTTGAATTTTTTAGTTTCGTGCAGAAGTCATGAATATATAAGCGAAGTTATAGCCCTAGAAAGAGGAAGGTAAAAATTGTAGTGCAATTTTATTTCTTGCTTCAATAACTTATTCATTTCAAATTGTTTGAGAACAAATGAGCTTTATTTAGAAAGGCTGAGCCTCGGTGATCCAAAATCCACCTCCATCTTCCGAAGTACCTGAAATTTAACGAAGAAAAATTCGTCTACATTTCAATATCCCCGTTCGTCACCTGTTTCCGATCAGCAAACGCGCTCCATCGTCAGGGCGCGATTCAACATATTCAAAACGCTTCCTCTAGTTTTCATATTATTGCACCTATTACTACACCTATCGGTTTCTGGGTTTCAGAGGGAGGTCGTACCAAATTGCCCATGAAGGAGGGGTCGTAAAAATTTTTTTTCAAAAGGTACCAACGATAGGGTTGACCCTAGTTGCGGGTGGACTCGAAAGCGCTTCAACAGCGCTGTTTGTGCTCCCGCGTAACAGCGGCCACATAGCAGGAGCACTACCAACTCGGCCGCGCTCGCCTTGGCCACGCCTCAAAGCGCGAAGAAAATCACGGAGCCACTCCCACCAAATACGCTGTAAACCAAGTTTTTATCGGGACCCTGATTACGAATATCTCATTTGTTTTCATGGTTGACGCTATTCGGGACCTATCTCCTGCTCATCTGCGCCCTCTCACTAATTAGAATGCAGTCAACACTAAGCCTTTAAAGAGTGGACGACTCCAAAGTGAGAAAGCCATCACCCTGTAATCACACTCACTTCAAATTTGCTACACGGCACGTGGTTCACCAATTCAAAAGTCTCACTCTCTACCCTATGCTTTGTCGTGCTCTTAAAGGAATCTTGCGCGGAAAATTCTTGCACTCTTTCCTAACATGAATATGTCAGTTGTGATCACTGGAAACAGCACACAAAGTTTCACGCATGAAGATTCGGTTTCTGAAGAGAAACAAACGTACAAAAACTACACGTTATGGACATCGAAGGTAATTCGGGCGGAGCCAAACGAGACATGGAAAGAAGTTGGCCTTTAGCCGGCTACGTATCAGGCGACGCAATGACGGAATCCGGGTAAAGTGATCGATTTTGGAGAATAGAGGCAAACAATCGATAGAGTATGATGCAGTAGAAGTGTAAGATGTGAATGCAATAAAGCAGAAAGCCAGAAAGAGTTTCTAGTGAAGGCACTCCAAGAACCAAGTGGAAGCATCCCCGTCGCCAGCATTCGTGAAAGACGTCCGTGGGCAATTCGAACGCGTAGCAGCCTTTCGAGTTTTCGAATTTTTAATCAAAACGAAAGCAATATTTCTGTTCTTTTCACTCTTATCGTGGATAATGAGTCTCAAGCCAGTGATTTATGGCTGAAATAGAATCATGATTTTTCCGCGAAGGATTCCTTTAAGCAACAGTTCCAGCAGGGTTTTTACTGTCGACACTAGTGGCGTCAAACGATGCGCTAGCCGTAGTCAAGAACATAAGAAGTGTGACTGAACAAAAAACCAAAGTAAAACCTGCTGGAACTGTTGCCTTAAGTGAGAGAGCTCTTGGTCGAAGCAAAAATATGCGCTAAACAGCGTGAATGCCGAACGCGACTGTCATATTCGTAACCAGAACACCAATAACCCCTGTGTAGAAGTTACACCGATTTTCGTGAAATAGCTGTTGTGACAAAGTGGCGCCATCTAAGGCGCCACTGCCAGAAATGGGTGTAATGTTCGTGATCAGGACTTTCGATAACCTCCGTAGAAGTTTCCGCAAATTTTTTTTGACAACATGCCTTGCGATTAGGATCAAAATGAAGCAGAGTGGTCTCGTTTCCACTGTCTCAATATCATAGTTCGCGCTAAAGTGAGGACAGGGTTGGCCATGGTGGGGCTGATTAGTTTCCGGCCAGCCAAACGTCATGATTTCTCAGTGGGTATGATGACCCATTGCTTACAACGTGCTGCACAATGCTCCACAACTTTCGTCTTCGTATTTCATCGTGATACATACACTAGTAGTTATAGTTATGCTTCTCCCGCGGCAGGGTGCGTTAAAGGCAAACCCCGGGATTAGCCCGACTAGTAGGAAGGGATACCACGAGGGAAATTGTAAGGTCCGTACCTACCTAGATCACTCCAGCTTCGTCGCAAAAATTGCGCGGTTAGGGCGCTAATCCTTACGGGCCTGCAACCATCGACAACGCTTCCCACCCACCGCGAGATGTGGTGAGATCAGCGTGCATTGATGTAGAGATCAGCGTGCTCTCTCAAACGACGTGCTCTCTCGCGTATTTTGTCTTCTTTGACCGCCCTGTCTCGCCATCGTACCACATCCGACCTTATTGAAGGTTAAGGCCTTAATTTCAGCGTTCTCAAGATTTCTTCTCTTCCTTTCCTTATCAGAGTCGTTTCGCAGCTAAGCTATCACCACGAAGCGCTATAGCACCATTTAAGAAGGAATTCAGATTATGAATGGAAGGCGAAGGGAAAATACCTAGTTGGGACACTGATCTCGCTGAGGGTGCGAACTGACGCGCAATTCGCATGGAAAAATTTGACCTCGGCGACCTATCATGCCTCAAAGCTGGCGGGTCCGGCGATCTCCGCCCACCGATCATCTGATCACTCGCCGTAGTTCAATACGTGGCGAGTGATTAGATAGCTGAGAGAGCGTAGTGTTGAAGAGGGCACAGCGATGAGAGTCGCATCAATGCTCGAATCAACGGGCAAGGAAGGGGTACCATTTCTCGGGTTCTGGGCCGTTTCTCATGGTTCTTCCTTCTTTCGTACCACTCACCATTAGGTTAATTTGAAATGGGTTGCTTTTCATCGTGAATTCGTCCTTTAATCTCGGGATTTGCGTTAAAGGACGAATTCACGCTGGAAAGGCAACCCATTTCAAATTAACTTAGCGATGGTGAGTGGTACACTAAAGAAGGAAAAACCATGAGAAACGGCCCAGAACCCGAGAAATGGGACCCCTTCCTTGCCCGTTGATTTGAGCATTGATGCGACTCTCATCGCTGTGCCCTCTTCAACACTACGCTCTCTCAGCTATCTAATCACTCGCCACGTATTGAACTACGGCGAGTGATCAGATGATCGGTGGGCGGAGATCGCCGGACCCGCCAGCTTTGAGGCATGATAGGTCGCCGAGGTCAAATTTTTCCATGCGAATTGCGCGTCAGTTCGCACCCTCAGGAGGTCCGTGGGTCCCTCAACTAGGTCAGTTTCCCTTTCTTCGACCTTCATTCTAATCGTGAATTCTCCTTAATTAAGCTTGGAGTCGGCGGTTGTTGGTGTGCTGGAGAATGACACCGGGTAGCACGGATCTGGGGCTCTTCTACCAATGCTCAACGTTGTTGGTGCATTCTTCTCTAGGGCATTGAATCTTTTAGGATTGGGGGTGGGATCGGGAGCTAGGTTGCAAGGCGCAGGAACGCGACAGAATGGGACCAGCCGAATTACATAGTGGATGTGGACAGACAACAGAGCAGCCTTTTAAAAGGCATGCGTTTTAACATTAGGAGGTGTAAGGGGGACATCCCATAGCGAAATTGGTACTGGCTAAACACTCAACGATTCGGTCACCACGAGCAAACCAATCCTATCAGAGGGAGCTCGATGCTTTCAGGCCCAACTAAAATGCATGAAAGTGAACCATTTTGACAGATTGAATTCCAAAGGCCAAATATGTAGAATCAGGCAGAAGAAAGGATTTCATTCGGGATGTCTTGAAGCAGAAATTGGTATCTGATTTGAGGCATTGTAGTTTTCAGTGGGGGGATTTAGCAAGGAATGGATATTCACAACAGTTTTGCACATTCAAGGAGGGAAATGATCAGAATTATCATAATCTTTTTGCCTTTTCGCATAACAACAATTTAAGCAGAGTTGGTTCCTTCTGAGAAAGAGAGTTGCATTTCTTCACGTTTATATTGCTCTTAATAACAGGCATGTTTGGAATTTCGGGAAAAATTTCTGTTTGTTAAGTATTGGAAGGCTTCGCGTTAAAGATTTGTGGGTGTTGGCGATGTATCTGACGAAAGTGCGTACCCGTAAAGAATCATTAAAATTCTTTTCGTTCAGAAGAGTTGGACCGCTCCAAGTCAAAAGGAGCGCAGACACAGCCGTAGAAATAGCAAAGAAAACGGTTTCTTTGAACACAATGCATTGAAAATTTCGCAAAGAAGATTAGATTTTACAGGGGAGTCTTATGTTGTCATAATTGTGAGGGTCATAAAAACAGCAATACAAATCGGAACGGTTGAACCTGATCTTATCCCGCTTTCGGGAAGTGCAAGCCAGGTCTTCTAGCAAGAACATAGCTCGAAGAACTTTTCTGCACTGGGGTGCCATTGTCGCGACTTGAAAGTGGGTGACAGTGACGCTAGGCCCTTCATGTGGATTTACTGCCGAGATACTTACATAAGGCACACGCCATGACACGCAGCGTGGATTAGGCGTAGCAGAGTTAAAGTTACAAGTCAGGGATTAGGGCAACCAGCAGCAGTTCTTCCCAGGGTGCGATAGTGGGCTCCTCAAGCACTGAGGGCGCGACACTGTCGCGACCCAAAAGTGCGCGGCAATGGCGCTAAGGCTTTGCCCGCCGCGCTGCCCGCGCTGCCAGCGTAATCCACCGGACCGGTGTTTCTGAGTCCTCTCGGTACGATCGTACTATATCGCGGTTCCCGGTCTCTCAGCAGCGCTGTGTACTGTCACTCGTACTTTACGCCGGCCTCTAAGAAAATTAGTGTTTGATTATGGTGCTTTTGCTTGTTTTCTCATGGTTTTCTTGCACCCTTGCCATATGTTCGGACAAATAACGATAGCTTTAATTCGACTCGTGCCTTCAATGGAAACCTGTATTAGGGTTGGAAGGTCGTTCACCGTCCCGCCCGCGCCCTTCTTTGTTTTAATAGTAAGAAGTAGGATATTGTTAATGGCTTCTCGCGATGGCTTGGTTTAGTTTCCATGTTAGTCTTTCGGCATCCACATATCACTATTCGACGCTGTGCCATAATTTTCAGGTTTAAGTGAGATCGCTCATTTACCTAACATGTACAACTTTATTTCGAAAGTTTCCTTTACAGTGCTGTATGTGGTTAATCGATGCATTTCGCCTTTAACTCCATCGTTCTCTGTGGGAAGTGATCGGTGACTTCTGGGTGCTTTTCAGAATGAACAGAATGAAAATCACTTCGAATATCTTCAAAAATTACTTATCTTCATTTCTGAGCAATATAATACCATAGTTGCTCCTTCCACTAACACTAACATTTCGCCTTTTTCCTGTTTGCCTTTGGCGCGCGCGAAGATTGCAAGTAGCATGAGGTGTTTTGGTAACAGGTCTTTGTCCAGGATTTCATCTAAGCGTACTCTGGTGAGCGTCTTGTAACTGCGACGATGCAGTTCTTCTTCACTCTTAGCACTGGAAATGCTCTATTATGGCATGCTATAATATCATTATTTAAGAAAATTGCCTCCCGATTGATGCATAGTCAGGCAGTTTCCCGGGCAACACCGGCATTTGCTTCTAATGGACGCTGGTGACACCTCTCTCTATTGTTCATTCATTCAACTCAGCATCTTGGTACTTTAAGGCCCTATGCTCCAGCGATGTGTTCATAATGTGTTTCTCATTAATTTTTCAGCACCTGAGACTAATCCTGATTTATCTGGCGCATAAGGCACGTTCCGCGACTGAATAGGTATGAGTTGTTGCTCCCTAATACCGAATTAGTTGTGGCCGTAGTCAGCAACAAAATAAACAAACAAAAAAAACTGCTGGAATATTAGAATCAAATGGCGCGCCAATCATATGAGCGGGTTTTGAGCCCCACTCCTACGAGAGTCACTGGTTGTATTCTTACCATTTCACTGTACTCTGATGTATTTTACAAGATCAAAGGTAAGAGCCTAGTGAGCTACCCGCAGGGACGATGCGCCCGCATGATCAGCTAGCAATGTGGTTTTGAGGGTTTTAGCACTTTTTTCAGTTTCGTTACTGGAAGACCAATAACACACCCACATTTACACATAAAACACAACAGTCCATAGCTAATCAATTGTGCCTTTAGAAGAGAATTCTACGGTAAGGACCTTGGTTGAAGAAGGGGAGACTTACCTAGCGGAGAAACAGGCGAGCCATCCGAGGGTGCGGATCTATTAGGTTGTCTCATAATTAGTGTCGCTTTTTTTCAAACAAAAAGTTTTCTTCTAAATCCTCAAGCTTTTACATCGAGTCATATACCATTC